TATATATATATATATATATATATATATATATATATATATATATATATATATATATATATATATATATATATATATATATATATATATATATATATATATATGACTTGAAGAAGCACTTGCCTAATACTCTAACTACATATATATCTGTCTGTCTATTTCCTTTCTTTATGTATACACAACATGTATTCAGTTTTGCATACATACATCACATGAGAATGGAAAGTGACAAACCGTAAATTGCAGTTCCAGGAAAATATATTAATTCGTTCTGAATAATATGAATTCAGATGACTGCATATTTATTCATGCATAATTTCCTAAAGAGCTGTAAGAGTTATTAGAATTCATTTTCAGGAATTGTTTTGATAATACAGGATCACAGGATCTATGTTCTTTTACTTTTATTATTATTTTCTATTTGTTATTATTTTTTTACGCCAGGCTTATTATATACCTTTACTGTATATCTCTCCCTCCCATTCCATTCTCCTCTCTCTCTCTCTCTCTCTCTCTCTCTTTCTCTCTTCTCTCTCTCTCTCTCTCTCCTCTCTCTCTCTCTGTGTGTGTGTGTGTGTGTGTGTGTGTGTGTGTGTGTGTGTGTGTCTGTCTGTCTGTCTGTCTGTCTCTCTCTCTCTGTCTCTGTCTCTGTCTCTCTCTCTCTCTCTCTCTCTCTCTCTCCTTGAAAGAAAGAAAACAAGCAAGGCAGAAAGAAATGGCGAGAAAGAATGAGAAAAGAGACAGGGGAGGAAATCCAATAAAAACGTAGACTGAAAAAGTAATCGACAAGTAGACATACAAATGAAAATATAGATAGATAGACACAGATAGAAACATAAGAGAGATAGGTCGTTAGACAATCAGATAGATGAATCGTCAGACATATGAAAACGTATAGAGTGATAGGTAGATTGATAGACTGATAGATAAATAGACGTGTCAGATATATAAGTAGAGAAGTAGGAGGAAGAGAAATGTAGCCAGATATAAACATAAATACGTATAGTACATACATACAAAATTACATACACACGTAAATAGACAGGCAGCTAGAATGTATCCTAAAGCTTTAAAATAAAGATATCTGAACTTCATTTAGACTTTATTAATTATTTAGAAGTTATTTATGACCACAACACCAACACATACCACAGGAAGTATCAATTGTAAAATGATTCTCCAAAGTTCAATCCACTTTTCTGGGAATAACTGAAGTGTAAAGATTCATTCACGTAACATGGTCTATCTCATTTTTTCTCTTTTTTTTCTCTCTCTCTCTCCATGTGGAACGTGACTGACATTATCACCGTTCCAAAAATTCTGACTCACAAAAGGTCCGAATGAAACTATTTTTGATTACCATATATATATTTTTTTCTTAAATTATACTACCATTCTCATTTCTTCCGCATGTGCATATATTTTCGATAATTTTTCTCGATGAAGATGAATGTTGCATATATGAAAGAAAAAAAAATATATAGAAAGCAATGGAAAAATAAGGTCTTCAAGATATAACGCATCACACCATTAAAATATAATGAAAAATACACTAAAATTATGTGTTTTATCTTATCTATTCGATTACTATTACTTGATAGATAAAGATTTGATGATCATATGATAATTTAACAAATATATGGTTATAGATTATCGTTATTATATCTGTCATTTCAGAACAAACCTAATATTATTCTATTTTCATTTTAACTACTATAACATACATGTATCATACATGTATTATACGAATGCTAATAATGATAATGATTAAAATAAAAAAATAGTGATAATAATAATGATACCAAAAATAATGATAACAATTATGGTACTAGTGATAATGATAATAATATTAATGCTAATAATAATAATGATAATTATGATAACAAGAATGATAATAATGATAATACTAATATTGATGATAGATATGCTAATGATAACAATAATAATAAAAGCGATAATAAAAAAAACATTAATGATAATAAAGATGCTGATCATAAGATTAATATTAGTGACAAAAATTACAATAATGGTAGTAAAAGTAATAATAACAAAACAACAACAACGATGATAGTAATAACAATAGCAATATTAAAAATAATAATGATACTACTACTACTACTACTACTACTACTAATAATAATAATAATAATAATAATAATAATAATAATAATAATAATGATAATGATAATAATAATAATAATATAATATAATAATAATGATAATAATAATAATAATAATAATAATAATAATAATAATAATAATGATAATAATGATGATGATGATGATAATGATAAGAATGATGATAATGATAAAAATAATAAGAAAAAATAACTGTAAGAACAATGATGATGATATCGATAAAATCAATAATAAAGATAATAATTATAATAAAAAAACGATGATGACATCTATAATGATCATAGTAATAACAATAATGATAAGAATGATAATAATGGTAAATGTAATGGTAATGATTATAACAATAATAATGATGATGATGATAACGATACTGAAAGGGGTGTTGATAATAATAATAATAGTAAATATAACAATAATGATAATGATAATAGTAATAATAACAAATTATAATGTAAACAATAATAGTAGTTTCATTCACAATGATAAAACGAAAATAATAATAATCAAATTCATGATAAGAATAATTATGATGAAATGAT